AAAAAAAAACATGATGACTGGATCGAAAAGTATACATACACAAAGGAATACTACTCAGCAATCAAAAAGATAAGTGTATGCCATTTATAGCAACTTGGATGGAGCTAGGAGGGATTATGCTCAGTGAATAAGTCAGAAGCAGAAAGTAAAATACCAGATAGTTTAACTTATAGGAGGAATAGAGAGGATCTAGAAAAAAAAATAAACAGACAACTATAAATCAGAGATATTTTGCAGGGAGGGAGTGGGAAAGGGATCAAGCAGAGAACGGAAGAGCATAAGGGACTATGGTGATGGCACACAGGTGAATTAATGGTGAGAATTCTATGGGAACTACACCTCAGAAAAGAAAACAGACTTTATACAAAATGAGCAATGATATAAAAATATATATAAATAAATTACATATTTTTTAAAATCCTAGAAAGCACATTATTATAGATAGCACTAAGATGAACTTAAACTAAAACTGTTGTGTGGAATTCATATTTAAGATAGCACATCTTCTATTAGATCATAGTGCTTGCATCTAGAGTAATGCCTAAATTGAAAAGGTACTTGTTAATTATTTGACATCCAGAAACTTCCTTTTAAAACTTCACCTAGCTTCATGGTATACCTGTCCAGCACTTGCTTCACTTTCTCAAGACTCAGTGTCATATTCAAGTCTACAGACAGCAAAATTTTATTTTTGTCTCTTTCTTTTTCCAGAGAGGTGATTGAGGAAATGACCTTGGCGAAACTGACAGTCTGATGTGAGTATTTCTGAACTAGATAATTATTCATTTGTTCCTTTTGTGTTCTGTTTCTTATACATGATTAGAGTATCCCAAAGCTAGTATTGAAAGAAGGTCTTAAATAGGGAATCAACACATTTTTGAAATTCAAAGTGCAGCACACAGTTGATTTTCTTTGTGCACTTTTATTCTTATAATCTGTTTCATTCAGTGAGCATTGTGGGAAAGTGCTTTGCCACTCATTAATTAGTTTTAGTTATCTAAGAAAATCTGTGAAACTTGGCATTCACAGAAACAACTCAAGAGCAGAGAAACAACATAGCTGGTGCCAGAATTTGGTGGGTGACAAGTTCAGTACCAATGCTGTCAAATCAAAGAATAATCTAAAAGTATTCCATTGTACATAATTTCAGTAGAAACTGTTACCTAAATCTAGATCAGAACAGCATTACTCAGGTACAAAAAAAGAAAGATACTGTTAGGCAAATGATAAATATTGCCCTAAGACTAATATCTAATATCTCCACTGAGATATTAGAGACTCTGTTTCACTTAGACAACCATTTGGTAACCTTCTCCTTTCTTTTTCTCTCTTCCCTCTCTTAAGCTTATGTTTTAAATTAACCAATAATGAGTGAGCATATGAAATTCTTAATACTCCCCACCTCAACCCCAATGTGACCTAGAACCCAGACCAGTGCTCTCTTTACCTGTGATGTCACTGAGGTCCAGATGTGCTGACAATTTCCAGGTGTTGTAATAAAGCTGTATTTTTTTTAAGTCTCTTAATGGTTATTACTGAAGTGTATCTTGTAATTATATGAAGACCCCCCAAGGGTTGTCCTGCTGTACTATTGACTTAAAATAGGGAAATGTCCATGGGAAACACAGGAGTTCTCCCTAGTATAGAAAACCTAATAAATAAGCCAGCTATTCCCTACTGGGTTTTAATCTCAATAGAATTAGTTGATCATAATTATTCAGGGAAAGCAGGTTTTAATAGGTTTCATTTAAGTATTGCATCTTTGGATTCTCAAAGTACACCAAAAAATTAATCAAAAATTTATCAAACCTGAGTCCCTTAACTTAAGAAAATGCAAAATTTATGTAATCACTGCAGTTGCATTCTTTCACTGAGAAGAAAGCACTGTATTTAATTCCACAGCTCCAAGTACACTGGGGATACAAGTGAAACCTTGATGAATTTATCATTTAAAAAAATGGACTCGTGCTTTCTTCATTCAGAATATAGTCTGAAATCTTAGTCTTGTCAGCTAAACTACAATGTAAATGTTCCCTGCAAGGACCCTGAGATTTTTCTAACCTTGAGGTTCAATATTGCTCTTGGCTGCAATAATGGTCAAATCCATAACATTTTGGTTTCAAAGAATGAACCTTAGAAAACTGTGAAAGACAGTTAATCTCAGTGGCAAACAATAGGGATAAAAAGGGAACTTTAATGAAAATGGATGTGCTTCTCGGGGTTTTCCGTCTTAATTAAAGTCACAACATACTTTCAAAGCAATGCTTGCTTCTGGATTTCGACTGAAGAAACTCATGGCAGGTCATGTTCATCAGTCACATTTTCTTTTGCACTAGTCTACCATTTTTGCTTTCAGCTCACAGCAGAACTATAAATTTGGCATCCCATTCTCCAGGTTACAGTCCAGGAAACGGAGACGTGGGTTTAGAAAGTCACCTTTCTAGGTACTAAGTCACTGTTAGTAAGAGACAGAGTGGAGATGCTTGGAAAAGTGGGGCATTCCCTGAGCACAGAGTTAACAACACTTGAAAAAGCATAGCCCTGGGCTCTTTCCAGCTGGAACCACATAATGGGCATCTCTTGGGACATGTGGCATAAGTGCCCAAGATGGGTTCGACCACAGGAAGCTGAAGCATGAGTGGAGCTCCCCAGCGGACCACACCAGGAGGAGCCAGGACACATACACAGAGCTCGTATGATGTGGAGATCCGCTCCTTGGCGGCCAGTGTTGCACGTGCAAATGCACATTGCTGATGTCTCCAAGGCGTCCTGCAGCGAGCTGGTCCACACCAGCAACCTGGTGAAGAACTGTGTTGTGCTCAGTGACAGCACGCCTTGGGGACAGTGGACGACCCCACTAGCGGCTGCCCCAGGTCTCAAGAAGGGTACCATGCTGGTAAATGAGGGGAAGAGATCTTAAACAAAAAGCCATCCAAGAAAAATATAACAAAAGGCACAGAAAGCCGAAATGCAGGGGCAGGTGCCGCTGGGCAAGCTCCTCGCAGCTGTCAGTCCAGGCCATCGCTGACAAGCAGTTGGCTGAGGCTGGGTTCAGTTCCCACAAGACTGTCCCTACCTCCCCATCTCAGATGCCAACCGCAAGTCTCAAGGTCACTTGTTCTTCTGACCTAGCTGCCACCCTTCAGGGTTTCCATGACCTTCCCTTGGACAAACAACCAAAGTGCCTACTATAGCTGAATGGTTAGTCGTATCATGCTCCATCTTGGGCAATAAAGGGACTTCAGTGATCGCCCTAATGACTCGGATGGATCTAAATGGCATTCTAATGAACGAGAAAATAAAAAGGATCCAAATAGTACACAATAATCCCCCCTTATCAGCAGAGAATATCTTTTCAAGACCCCCCGTGGAAGTCTGAAACCATGACTTGTATATACCTGGCTCTCTATTCTGTCTTCTGCTTTTACCTATACGTGCATACCTGTGATCAATGCTAAATTATACATTGGGCACAGTAAGACATTTGAAACAAATAAACCCTAAAATAGAACAATTATACGACTATTTATAATAAAAGTTCTAAGTGTGGCCTCCCCTTCCCCTTCCCGCTCTCCCCCTCCCCCAGAGTATCTTATTATATAAGATATATAATAAGATAAATTATAATAAATTATTATATTATAATAATAAATTATTATATTATAATAAATTATAATATAATTTTCTGTTGAGTTGACCCTGTTGACCAACAGGAACTAAAATAGGAACTGGAAACCACAAATAAGGGGGTGTAACTGCACCCCCTTATTTGGTATGATTCCATTTATATAATCTGTCAAAACCACAGACCCAAAGAATGGATTCATGACTGTCAGAAGGGTTGTGGGGGTTTGGGCAGTGACAGGAGCGTTTTCTTGCTTTTGGTGGTGGAGACAGAAATCTACACTTGTGATAAAATGACCCCCACCCTCAAAGCACACAGTCTGTCTGTCAAATCCCTAGGTATTGTACACAGTTCAGGAAGATGCAGCAGTAGAAAACTAGGTGCCACATACACAGAAGCTCTCTTTGCAATTTCTGGGTGCTATCGTCATTATTTATTAAGAGAAATTAATCCTTAGCCCACATGTCCATGTTTTAAGGTTCAGAAACACAGATTGGTGTCACACTTTCAGGGAAGTCAAGCTAAAGAAATCCTTTACATTTCAAGATCAGTTTGCACCCTGAAGGATCCCGGCCCTCCTCCCTTCCTCAACATCTCTCATGGAGTCGTAATTTCTGTAGAAATCTGCACCTGCCTTCCGTGGTTCAGTCACAGACACATAGTGAAAGCTGCCCAGAGGGCTGCATGAGTCTTAGTCTCCACCAGCCTGAAGTCCTAGAGGCCACACAGCCAAGGTTTCAACACAGCACTGGGAGCCCTGGCAGACACCTCCACAACATGGACCTCCTTGCACAGTTAGTTTTGAAACATACTTAAAATAAATGCCGTTTTGCACGGCTACTTGTGACCAACGTTATTTGCTAAGAGCCAGAAACAGGTTGTGAAATAGCTCGGCACTCTATTTCGCACGCAAGCATGAACTAGGGCAAGAGAAAAGCACCAGACAGTGGAGAGGCAGCCTGAGAGATCTTCCTGCCTCGCCTCTGGAGGGTGCGGTGGTGCGCGCCGCGGTGGGAGGTGAGCCGCGCTCCGCGCCCTCCTCCCGGCCCGGGGAGCAAACGCGTGCCGGTGCTACGTGGTCAGAAAGCTGCGAGCGTAGGCGACTGCAGCAACACTTCGCCTGAGAGAAAAGCAAGAGAACTTTCTTTGGAGCACGAACCTTTGGGGATGAAGTGTCCCTGGCTTTGGCTTCCTTCCCCTTGAGTGAGGATTTTGATCCCTGCGCGCTTTCAGCCTCCCGAATCTCCGGGGTGCAGTCGACTGCCCTCAGGCGCACCAAGCGGGGAGCAGCGGCTGCCCCCGCCTCCAAGGGTGCCAGGCAGCCGCCGGCGGGTCCCTGGCAGCCGCGCCCGGGGCGCGAGCCAGCGCGCGCGGCATGCAGGCGCTCAACATCACCCGGGAGCAGTTCTCCCGGCTGCTGCGGGACCACAACCTCACGCGCGAGCAGTTCATCGCTCTGTACCGGCTGCGGCCGCTGGTCTACACCCCGGAGCTGCCAGGGCGCGCCAAGCTGGCCTTCGTGCTCACCAGCGTGCTCATCTTCTCCCTGGCGCTCTTTGGCAATGCGCTGGTGGTCTACGTGGTGACCCGCAGCAAGGCCATGCGCACGGTCACCAACATCTTCATCTGCTCGCTGGCGCTCAGCGACCTGCTCATCGCCTTTTTCTGCATCCCGGTCACTCTGCTGCAGAACATCTCCGACCACTGGCTAGGGGGTGAGTCCCTGCGCCCTCCGGCTGCCCTTGCCCCAACCTTCCAGGGTCCTGCAAGCACTCTAGTCTGACTCCCTTCTATTTCTCCCACCACCAAAAGAATATATTGCCCCTTCTGAAAACTTCCTCACCACACACACACACTTGGAAATAAGTTTGGGCTTTTCCTGCGTCTTTCGATTCCGTTCAGCGTTTTTCCCTCGTTGCTTAGAGACACGGCGTGGGGAAGTGCTTGCGAATACATGGCAGAGCGTAAGGTGGACCTCGCGCGGTTTTCCAGGCATTTTAGCTCCCTTTCCCATAACACCAAGATTTTCCCCTATTTTTGAAAAGTAGGATAAAAATGCTTCAAAGGATAGCCTCAACAGCCCTCTCTGTCCCCCAACCTCCAGGCTCTCCCAGCTGTCTGTCCAGCTTCCACACAAGGGTCTGGATTCGGCACACATAAAGACTTCACTAAACAACAAATACAACACATTCATAAAAGGGAAAAAATAAAAACACTGTCAGCTGGTCCCTCTTTAATAATTGGCCTCACAGAGTCATGGAGTGAGGAACATAGAGACCACACGTCCTCCGGACTGACAGAAGAGCAGAGAATTTCTCTTCCTCCTTTAGGAACTGCCCATATGGCCGCCGAGCCCTCTGGAGGCACTGAAGGAAGGCAGTGTGGAGGCTGAGAAAGACACTGCCCTTCCCCAAATGAGCCCGTTCTTCCCAAACTGGAAAGAATTCCTTATAATCTAGATAGACTAGTGCCATACATGAAAATACATTCCATGAGCACTTCTAGGGTCCCTTGGGGAGGAAGGACTGCTTGCACCTCCATTTTCCTGGCTGGGTTTATTTTTGTGACCCTATCAAATATTCCTGGAAAGTAGTTGGAAATACAGAAAGAATGTGAGAAGGATCGTCAGGCTCTGCCATTGCCACTCTGGATCCTTCTATCCTCATGGAGAGTCTCTTCCATCTCACCATTATGACTTGAGGGCTTCACGATATTTCCCTGGCATTGCTGTGTTCCCTTAACGTGCACTGAGTTTATTGTTAGTGGTTCACAATGTTAACCACATACATACCCATTTCAGCTAGAACATACATATTTCCAGAATGCTTTAAATATCTGAGCACACAGCATTGGCGTGGAAAGTGAAAGAAAAGTTACAGATAAAGAAAAAAGGTGCAGATGGTTCTATACATTATAGATTGTCTTATTCTGATAAGTAATTCTAACTGAAATAATTGATGTTTTGTAGTCGCCAGGTGCTATGAACTCCATAAAGTAAATGATACAACTTTAGATGGATTCATGTACCTTTTTATATTGAGAAAGTCGGGAATTTTCCTTTCCAAATGCTGAAAGCAGGTTTATGATGCCTGTTCGTGCTGTGTGTTTGTGTCGTGTATATAACAGTGGGCATCTTAAGATAGGATCTTATCTTACACTGGGAATCGAAAGACCTGGGTTACTACTTTGGTTTTGGTTCTAAAACGTCTTAATTCAAGGTCACTATCTGGATCTCAGTTAAAAAAAAAAAAATAGAAACAACGATTCTAGAAGGTTGGAGAGAAATAAGGCAGTTGTGTGTGTAGCTCCTTGTCCGTAGAGAATGAAGCCCTGTGGAGCCTGGAAGAAATATTCCACTGAGAACTTAGGCAGGGGCTACAAACATTTTTCTCAATTTTCCCCCCCTAAGTCAGAGAAAACATTCCATTTTAACTTCTAAGTATTTTTAAAGGGGGTAATAATGACTTCTATATTGGGTAGATTTAGTGTGAGGGTGCAGTGTGTTCACAAAAGTGCTCTGAAAAAAACCGACCATACAAATGTATTACTGCATTTAGGAGTGTTTACTGGGAGGTGGTGGTCTATGTTTATCTGAAACCAGATTTATAGGATAAGTATTCTTATGTAAATGAGCACACTACAGCCAAAATTGCAATTCAGTGAAGAGAGACTGCGAGAGGTATACAGGGAGAGACAAAAAGAGATGCTGATACTTCAAGGATCAGATAAATAACTGCAAAATTCCCCTGGCAAATTAGCAAGAGAGTTCAATGGGATGTAATCTAATAGCTGAAAATTAATTCACAGTTTATTTTTGCATGAGGCTCTTGTAGACAATGAGAACATTCTACCTTGGGAACATAAAAATAAAGACAGCTCCTATATGGCTGTGTGGGAAATATCAAGAGTTGGGAATTTCAGAGTTGGGAAATATTCCCTAAGTGAGCAATGATGGGTTTTGCTAGAAATTCCACTATGCTGTGGAGCATGGAAGAGTCAGTAACACTTCACCAAGCCAGGGCAGTTTGAGTTGGATCTTGAAAGACAATGTGGACTGCTTCCAGAAGAGAATGGATGGTGGAGTGTGTTTAGGAACCAGGAGTCAACCCAAAGTTTGGAAAAAAGAAGGTGAGCTAGTCTGGAAAAACACTGGGTAAAGCATTTCAATAAGATCCCATTTATATGTACGAAATGGAACTGTAAAGTAGTTTGGTGTACCTGGAGGGAATTTATATTACAAATTATGCAGACTCTAGAATATAAATACCCCTTAAATTCCTTCAAGGTGAGGCAGGAAATGAAAACAAGGCCATGCAGAGCCAGGAGGCCACAGTGACAGAAGCAAGACTGGGTGCCTGTCCTGAAGGGGGCTGGCTGCCTGCAGGCTGCGGGCCTGTGGAATTGTCAGAGCTGTTCTTGTTGTCACGTCACATTTCTTTTTTCAGGGGTTGTTTCAGAAAAGTTGGGGACACGAATTTTTAGAATGACATTTCATTTAAAATTTATAAAGTAAAAGGCAATGAACTGAAGTTAGTGTCTCTGTGGGTTTGGCTACACATCATTTCTGGGCGTCCAATCTGACTTCTCTACAAAGCCTGTCTCAGACACTGCCACAGTGGAGGGCTGGAACAACCGGGTTCTCCTTTTAGCGCTCAGTCACCAGCTCCCTTCCCTAGGTCCACCACCACCAAGGAGTCTGAGCTTGCAGACTGACTTGATCCCAGGTGATTCATTTGCACAGGAAATGCTGAAAGGCACCCCTGCAAATAAATACTCCCAGACCTGGCTACACAGAAGCTCTCCCCAGGGGCATGGGCTAGGCTCCCTGGCAGCCTCGTCCACACCAGGTACAGGGAACTATCTGTTGCGCTGACCAGAGGCATTGCTGACTGATGGCTCCCAGTCCTCACTCAGAGACATACATGGTGGTTTGTGATTGGTCATGGTGGGAATATTTACAGTGTAGGAAGCAGCAACTCTAAGTTGGGTCTTTTCCAAAAAGCTAAAAAACAAACAAACAAAAAAACCAACAAGACCAAAAAAAAACCTATTGTTTTCCAGCCTAGCACAGAGCATTGCCACTGAGTTTCCTCTTAAACCATGATGTACCATGAATGATTGGTGAGACAAAGTGTATTCGGAGATCTTCAGTTTATTTTCAGCTTGCACTCCCATCTGATGGGGCCAATATTGGCATCAAGGGTTGCTGAGCACTGAGCATGGACACAAGCTAAGGCACCATCCCTTCTGTAGACCTCACATCGCCAACCTGAGATGACCTGTTACAGGGCAGCATGAGGGCACCCCGGGGTCTCCAAACCTGCCTGTGCTAACTAACCATCTTCATATAAAGACAAAACACACCCTAGGGTATAAGACCTTCCATGGAAAGGAACTTTAATACGATGAGTGTGCGACAGAGAAGGGAAAGGATCAAACAATTTGCACATAGAACACCCAAAGTTACCCATCCCTCATGGGTAAATCCCCAGCCAAACAGGGTTGGCCCAAAGCAGGGCCACTGAGGCCCAGAAACCTGCCACAGTCTGTGGGAACCATAGGAAAGGGGAAGAAAGAGCCAGGCGAGCCTGGGATGCAAGAAGCAAGATCAAAATCAAAATAAATACTGCCATCAAGCTCCCCACAGCTCTCTCACCCACATTTGTTTCATGTCCCCCAAGGCCCAGGCTGAGCAGCAAGTGCAGCTTCCTCATGTCTCTCTGTTCCATGCACTTCCTCCAGGGCTCCTTTCTCTCCCCAGCTCTCCTCTCCAGCTTCTCTTCCCTGCTCAGCTCCACCCTTGCTTGGGGGTCGGGGTGGGGAGCAAGGGGGGGGGGCAGGGAACCTGGAACCTCCCCTTCCCCTGAGGACCACCCTATTATACCTCTGCCTTCATCCCGCGGCCCACTCACTCCCACACAACTCCCCAGAACTTCTTTGCAACATGGAGCCAGCAAGAGTGGGTTCTCTTTCCCGGAGTTTCAGAAATGGCACGTGTTCATGAGTTGTGTTGGTGGCCTGCACCACCACAGGACTTCTAAGTCCCGCCTGGGTTCTGTCTGCCGTCTGCTCTACCTGCTTGGCTATCCCTAGCAGTGAACTGGCCCTGCTGACCTTTGGATGCCATGGAAATGAGCGATCATTAGCTGTAGCCTGTTTTTCTCATTTTGCCTCTTTCTTCTCCTTTTCTTCTTTTTTATCTCTTTATATATAGCTAGGAAGAGCTATGGCATTCCTCCAAATACACTGACAGAACTCATCCTGTTTTTTTTCCTAGTTAAATTCAGTATAATCTTACTTCCGACCACCACTTGCTCTCTAGGTCTCCATAAACATCTCTTTTCCTTCTTCCTTTGCTTCTTTGCGTCTCTGTCTCCTTTTGGTGATTCTTACACATCCTCTTATTATTGGATGGTGTGTTTCCAAAAGCTTGTTAGGTCGACTGTTTCCTTTCATCCTTTATTTGAGCATAAAGGCTACAGCCAGAGCTCACATTTCTCTGCTGAGGTTCCTAAAATTAGTAAGTCACCATTATCAGAAGGCCCAGTCTCTCACCTGATCTGCAGATGAGACATTTCCACAGGGATATCTGATCAGCATGCCACAAACACTCCCTCACCACCTTTAACAAAAGAAAAGCTGTGTCCTCGTAGAAGAGCCAGGTATCATTTAGAACAAGAAAGGTAGGAAAGCATTCAGAGAAAAGAAAGAGAAT